GGTCATAAGGTCATTAAAGCATGGGCTCACTGGTCTAGTCAAACAGTCTTGTCAATGTTCAACAATTACAGTCCACAGTTTAGAGGTTATCACATGGGGTCTTTACTTAGTTATACAATCCCAGAGTCGTAGTCCCAATGGTCAAATTATCAAAACAAATAACATATCGATCATTCTAAGCAAAGTTACAGTCATATAGGTGCATGTTCAGAATCTAGTAACATTCCCAATACAGATTCACGAGGTCTATGTACAGATGAGAACAAAACAGTTTCCCCAGATACAATAGTTAAGGCAACAAGTCATAAGTCTACTCAGTCTAGATACAAATGTAGCGGACACAAAGAGTGTGTCGAGTTCAATTAATTAACATCCCACGCAAGGTATAGGCATATGTAAGTCCAAACATGTTCCATATCCAGTCAATAATAGTGTATCTCCATATTTAACAGTTCGAGCATAGTTCAACAGGTCAATCACGATAGTTCATATCAACCAGTGAGTCTCTAAGTGTTCATTAACCACGGTTCAATTCCATCAATACTAATAGTATTACAAGCATGGAAACATACAGACATGTACGAGTCCAAAATCAATTATCATTTAGGCATTCGTTCACAATTCATAAGCAAAAGTTCGTTCTTCCAAACTGACATAGGTTCTCAATTTCAGAAATTCCGTACGTGGCTGACTCATGTATATAATTCGGGATCACGGGTCTACTCATTCGATGATGTCGGTCAATAGATAACAGTTCAGTTCAAGTCATGGTCGTACAGATTTCCCAAACTATAGTCAATCCTGATATGTTCCCATGTTCAATAGTTCTAGCATAGTTCAAGGGTCATACCTAACAGTTCATATTCAATTTTGCAATACGGTACAAGAATTTAATCCAGCAAGTTCTCGAGGCAGTCAATAACTAGGGGTTCATAATTCTAATAATTCAATTGGTTCAATTATCATGTCCACAATCTATATCAAGTTAAGGAATGTACACTCCCACACAAATTCCCATATAAACAATTGCATATAGTTAAGATAATACCTGCGTCAGTCGTTTCAGTGTTCCGTGCATTTTCTGGAACTAGGGTGTAGGAACAGAACCAGTCGTACTAGCATTAGGCCTAGTGTTGTTCGGATGAGTTCGCGGGCAAGATTTAGCCAAGTACCCTCTCTGACCACATCTAAAACAAGCCCCTGATAGGCGGCGACAAACGTCCCAATGTTGTTTCCCACATTCTTTACAAATAGGTACACCATTGTTTACATTGCTTCCCCAACTCTCTTTGTTCACAGTTATTGTCCTAGATTTTTCATTCGCAGAGGTCACTGAATCACTAGTCATTTCGACTTTCTGTTTCTTTTGTTTCATTCTTTCGGATTCAGTTGATGATGTTGATTTTGATATTTTCAAGGCTGCTATGTTTGCCTCGGACATTAAGGCCCTATCAAGAACATCCACGTATTTTGGCAATTTTAAGACGCCAACTTGATCAAACACATCTAAGTCAAGCCCACCTTCAAATTTTCTAGCCTTTTTGTAGTCAGTGTCTATCATGTAGGGTGCATATCGGGCCAGTTCGGTGAATTTTGTTTCATATTCGGCCACAGTCATTTTGCCTTGTTTTAGTTGTTCAAATTCAGATACCTTCCTATCCCGGATGCATTGGGAAAAATATTTTTTGAAGAAAATTTCTTTAAATCTATCCCATGTCACACCCTCATTATCATTCCGTGCTAACATCCACCATCTCCTAGCCTCCTCTTTGAGCGTGAATGTTGCCAACAAAACTTTCTGTGCCTCAGTACACGGAAATACCTCAAATATTTTCTCAGTTTCTAAGACCCAAGCCTCGACTTTTAACGGTTCATTACCCCCCTGAAATTCTGGTGGTTTCATCTTATTATATTTCTGTGTCAGTGTTACCATATCATAATTAGCTGGTTCAGGTACATGTATTTGCCCGTGTTGCTGTTGTTTCAGATTTTTGGTTAAGGCTTCAACCATTCTTTCTAACCGGCTAATTCTAGCGTCAGAAGATTCAGAATCGTCTATATTCCTGGTCCTTTCCATTGGCTACACACAAACAGGGTGCTTATTAATATGAGGAAAGTTCTCACTGTTCTCACATTTCATTTCATATCATACGTGTTTATACTTTTATTTCAATTCAGATACAGTTACATGATCCCTTACTTTCATACGTTCATGTTCACATAGATTCCACATTCGGTACTGAAATTAACATTACATGTTATTTCACTTAACTTTTTTGATCATACACAAAGGTTTCATTTCAATTCATTTTCAATAAGGATGTGTTCATAGTAGTTCACACACTTAAACATGATGATGCAATATCCTTATTTCTTTTCTAATACATCTTATAGCTTATATGGACACGTGTGTGCGATATAACTCGTGCTCTGATACCACTCTGTCACGACCCAAACCCACCCCATAGGTTTAGCATCGTAACCGGCCAGTAATCCTTGGATTACTGAAGGCCTTTGAACAGATTAACAAAATTAAGGGGCTAGTGGAAGCAAATACATAAATATAGTTGTCCAATGAGCTGTGCTGACTTATATGAAATAGAATATTTAAAACTTTATATACATAACCGGTAGTCAACATACATTATACCCACACACATTACAGTATTTTAAGTACCACCAACGACATCAAATCAAGTCTTAAATAAACAGAAACCACAGAACTTAAACACAGGACACTTCGGGAACCTCCACGTGAGGCACTATGGTTGGCTGACAACAGAACACAGATCCAGACAAAAGCCTTCAGGCTCGGGCTCCAAAATGCTCACCTATACATATATATATACACACAATGAGCTAAAGCCCAATGAATAACATTAAAGTAATGGGGTTAGTGAACGAAATCCGAATATATCATAAGCAGAAAACAGACCAGAGCATAATCATTCTCATATCAGAACATAATAATGGTACATCCCATAGAACACATCACAGAACGTCTTCCGACTAGAGTAATTGGCTCCAGATACCGATTAAACACATATCACCACAATGAAGTGGCTAACGAGATCTCGTAATTACTTGTATGTCATGGACCCGCATTTTCATGCCGTCCCCCATGACTTGGGACTATCTATGGATGCCATAATAGATTTCAAATATGGAATATTCGTTCACGAAAACATATATCATTTCAGAAATCAAAACTTATCATATGTCATTTGGAACATAATTCATATGAACGTATCTTTACGATAACGTTACTCACAGTGGTTCCAGTAAGCGGTCAATCAATCCTCGAGTCTTGACCTACAAGAACAAAATACATAACACAAGCATGTCTTATCATTACGCATTCAAGTGGCCAATAAGGCTGAGCTTTCATTACATTAGTTCTTATTCTTTCTTATCACATGGACTAAAACACACACACTTGCAGTCTCGGAACTTAGTACATTCGTTCTTAGTGTGTTTCTAATCCATAACCTCATTATCAAAGCTTAATTAGGTCTTAGGAATGCCTAAGATGCAATAAGGATGCCAAAACATGCCCTGGAACACTTAGGCAAAATTTCTGAAAATGAGGTCTACGCTCGAGCGTGGGTTTCCCCGCTCGAGCGGACATGCAGACAATAAAGCTCCACTCGAGCGTGACTTTCCCCGCTCGAGCGAACTGTAAACTCTAAAAGTACTGGATACAAGGTTTTCACGCTCGACGGGCGTTCGACCCACGCTCGAGCGTGGGTCAAATTTCTGGAAAATCCAAATTGACCTCCCAAGCTCAAAATTTGAATTCCAACCTTCAAAACACATCTCTTGGGCCCCAAAACTTGAGATAACATAGTAAACTTGTAAAACATGAAGAATTTAGGATCATTTCATAAAATCATGGCCCAAGGGTTTGCCAAAAATTCCCAATTTCAACTCAAAACATGATGAATGTTCATGAACACAACATGCATGAATTTTTCTTGTATCAAACTTCTCAAAACATGATCAAACACCACAAAAAAACTTGAAACTTGATGATTTCCCCAAATGAAGATGAATTTCAAACATGCATAAGAGAATTCTTGGAGTTCATGCTCAAATTGTGAGAAAATGTACATGCATACATGAATTGCAACTCAAATCTTATTCTAAGCTCAATATACACATCAAACTCACAATCTTGAAGAAATTTCATGTTAAATGACTTAGGCCTCGTTTGGGAAGTGGCTATTTTAGTAGGCTATTTGGCTTTTTGACTATTTTAGTAGGTTATTTTAGTTTTGTGTTTGGGAAGTTAGGTTAAATTTTTATTTGAGTTGGTGTATTAAAAAATGTGTTGAAAAGATGTTTGTAATTAAAATGACCATTTTGTCCCTACAATTATATTTTTTTTAATTTCCGGCTGAGGGGCAAAATGGTAATTGAGCTGTTGATGTAACCATTTCCGGCTGTGACAGTGTAGGCACAGCCTACACTGTCCAGCAGTCAGCCTATATATATATATATATATATTTTTTGGAAAATCAAGAAAAAGTTGCTACAGTGTAGGCTTTTGGGCTGATTTCAAAATTAGGCTATAATAGCCGGGAACTCATGTTCCCAAACAGCGCCTTAGTTACACAATCTAGAGGTTGTAATCTTACCTAGAGTCTTGAATTACTCTTGTTCTAGCACAATCTTTGATCAATTCAAGCTATAGCCTTCAATTCTTCCACAATCTCTTTCTTTCTCTCACTAGAATTGTGCTCCCTCTCTCTCTAACATGTCTTACCAGATTTTTCCACTCAAGGGAGATAAAAGAAATGAGCTCAAATGAGCCTATTAGTCACATATTGGCTATGAGGCTAAAATACACTATTTAGAACATAAGGCTAACCAAACATGACTTAATTAACCATTCTGAATCAATTTTTAATAAAATTTGCCATATCTGAGAAAGATATCAAAACAATTTTCCACTTAACTATTCAAGGTGATGGAACTTATGTAACAATCTCTTATCCTAATACAGAAAAAAAAAAAGTTGAAGTACCTGATCACCTGATATTTGGACTGCTTTGTAGAGAGACCGTATAGTATATCCATGGAGGTAAGAAGCATGGCTTATCACAACAATTGGGGCATGCCATACTTTATCCTTTACAAAACTTCCTGCCTACTAAGCATATCATAAAGATCAGTACCGTTTACCAAATGAGCCAAAAATTACATCAAAGAAAACTAAAGGCACTGCTGGAAAATCCACTTTTAGCGGCGTTTGAAAAACGCCGCTAAAAGTACTAAAAACGTCGCTAATTCTTTTTGTGACGTTTAGTACCAAACGTCGATGACGCAACCGTCGCTATAACTTTATGACGTTTGAAAAACGTCGTTATATTAGTATAGAACGCCGCCAAATGTCCTACCTAACTTACTATGATGTCACTATGACATTTAACGACGTTTTTGAAAACGCCGTCATAGACATTCATACATTTTAAAAATTTAGCCATTGGGGTGGGATATAGTGACATTTTTTAAATGCCGCCATAGCCTTTTTTTTAATTTTGTTAATTTTATATGATTGAACAAAAAAAATATCTGTCAAACAATTATTAACTAATAATTGATGTTTATTAAAATTATAAATAAACGAAGCTTGAAAACGATTAAAAATAAGAAACGATGCATTGCATACTTAAGAATAGCAACAATTCAAACTTTAAATACATCAATTAAAATCAAAATGGTCAAGAAGAATAATTTGCCCAAAAAAATTAAAAAGGAATAGAAAGCACACAAATATGGATTGATCTAATACCCAGCACAGAATTTTAGGGTTTTTATTTTTATTTTTTATACCTAACATCGCTCAATCTAAAATGAAGATAGATCTCACATAAAACAATGGTGGGTTGTCTGCGATTGACAAGTCAATTGGCCATTGGTGGTGTGGTTCAGTTGCTATTTTCCCGCTAACCCACCAACTCCATGCCGAAAAAGAGCACAAACACATTGCTCAGTTGGAAAATGTAATGACCTGATTTTTCTCAAATTATCACAACAAAGAAAGCAACGTAATAATATGAACACAAGCAAAATTAAAAGAAAATCTATTATATGTCGAGGCATAATACAATTCAGCCAATTCAATTAAACAAAATGAAACAAGCAACTGTCAAAAACTTTGATATGGGAAATGACTATTGATTTGTCATCTTCACCTTCAAAAATTGAATCATATATCTGAAACACACTTCAGCTGCCCAATCTCCCCGGTGAGATTGATTGACCCCATCATCCATTTTAGCTGAAGTGAGAATGTGTTTCAACCAATAATAATATGAAACACAGACAGGGCAATTCACCGTCTTTTCTTTTTTTAATGACAGTACAGTTTGATCACTGAATCAGCACCCGCAGTGAATAACCATGGTTGCCTAGGGTGGAACTTGCAGTCCATTACTCCTGTAAAAGGCAAAATGAATCAGAGAAGCCACCAAAAATATTATCAACCCAAATATTAGTAAGATACACTCTGGACATTTATATTCAGAGATTTCAGTATCTATATTCACAAGGGCGCATTCTATGTTGCATGTCATATTATTATTTCCACACAAATAGTGTACCTTTTGCGAGAAAAATCAATACTAGAAGGTACCAAAAGCAAGGACCTGGGTTATCAGTAAGGAGAGGCTAGTTCGATCCCAGCCAGCCCTACCACATCGCAATGAACCAAAAACAAAACTGGCAATACATAACTACTATTTTTGTAACTGAGAATCGATTGGAATACAATCATGCAATGAGTCAACAATAAAGCTCTGCCAGGAGCTTAACAACCTACCTCCCACGAGGTCAACTTTTTTTGTCAAGTACAATTAGGCCAACTTAAGAGAGGAATCAGGGTTGGACAAGGAGCAAGCCAGCCCACTACTTCCATCAAATCAAGATTCCACAGAGAGAACCATCTCCGGAATACATCAAAACTAGAACTAGACTTGGCAGCATGCATATAATAGAAAGCACACTAATATGGATTAGAATAACAATATCATGCGTCGAGCCTGCCACATCACATCAATAAACAAATGTTACTTCGGTGGATTTTTTCATAATTCAGGCAGCAATATTTATATCATATATCAATAAAAATAGCAACGTAGGTGTCATTTCAGAATGCAGCATAACATAAAAGGAAAGTATTTTCCCCTCTCTGTAGACAGTGAGGCCAAATGAAGCCCAAGCTTACTCATACAAATTGCAATGCACAAATAGAAAAAATGCACAAAATTTAGTCATTGGGCCCTAGTAGTGTTGAATGGGATACAAAGCACAAAATACGAAGAACACACATCACACCTTGACCTGCAAGTAAAATTTATTAAGATTCCTCACTAGTTTCAATTTTCAAGAGCGGGGTATGACTTCTTATTAACCAAAACTACCATCTTGCATTACATATATTAGTCTTTATATGTCCAATGTGCTCAACAGTTCTTAAACCAAGCTACAAAAATGGGAAAAGAGGTATCTGAGAAATTCCTAGTTAGGATACAAGAAAATATGAAACTTTGGAGAGGGAGAGAGAGGAAATGTTGGCCAAATTAGGTGATGCCCAATTTGTATCAAAATGAAATACAAGAATACAAGACCAACCGTATGCATTAAAACAAACTACAAAATTATCAAAAGCATTACCTTAATGAGGGAAACTGGGAAAGAGCACTGTAGCTATTTTAGGATCAAGAAAGCAAAAGGGACTCTGAAAAAAATTTCTCAAATCTTCTCTCATCAAATCCTGCAACTTCAGACATAGAAAGTTGAACAAAAGTCAGCACTTGAATTGTCAACTGCACTTCTCAAGGTTTAAAGTTGATTGAAAGAATGGATATCATTTACCAATGTGTTGCAGCAACCCTTTTCTTGTCCTCCCAAGTGGGCTTCCATTTAAGTTTAGTTGATTGAAAGAATGGATATCATTTACTAATATCCTATTTTTCTTGTAGTGACTCCTACAATTACGTTTCCCATCCTCAGAGTTTCTGTAATCACCTGTTATAATTATTCAATTAACAACGAACATTTTTTCTATGATTTAATATAAATGCTCTATGGGAAAACAATTTTTATTTATTTTTCGATAATTTGTTATTATTAGTTAGTTTTTGGTGAATAATAATGAAGAACTTACGGTTTCGGTGAATGGAAGAGGTAAATAATCAGTCCAACACAGTGGCTCTCTGAGCTCATCTTTGAGTCTCTTCAGTTTCAAGTTCTCCTCTTGCCAATTATCAACCAAGCATAATGTGAAACTAACAAATAGTTAATTAACAACTATTTCTATTTGTAACAAATACTTGATACATTGTGATTAGGATGGTACTAGAGAAATAGCACTCATTTTTCTTTTGGGAAGAGAGAGACAGAGCAAACATGTTGTGCTTCATCTTGGATGTATATGGGGTGATCATCTCTCCAATCCTCCATAGATTGTTGGAGATACTTGTGCCTGTCTTGGGTGATCTGAGCTTTGAGATGTGAGGATTTGAAGAAAGACCCTATGAGGCCATGAATTCTCCTTTGCAAGCTTCCAGTGATGAGCAATATAGAAGACTTACCCATCAACCCAGTGAGAGATTTCGGGTAAGAAGGCACAAAAGCCTTGCCATCACTTTGCAAAACAAATCTACTCACTTCTGCATCTATGGACACAATTGTAGGACTTCCAAATAAATGTGACTTGAACACCTTCCCATACCTACAAATAAAAATTTCCTATCATAATTCATGTAATCCCCAACTTGGTTTCATCTTAATCAAGCTACTATGTAGGTTTTGAGTCTAGCCAGTTTAGTGTAGTTTATTGTAAGTTAAAGCAGCCCAATAATGAGCAAGCATAAAAAAAATCGCAATTTTATGTGCTAGAATGAAGTTCCACAACAAGAGTGCCCAGGTAAACCGCTAGTAAGTAATGATTAGTACAAAAAAATTGAGGAATGACAATCTCTTGACTACCTGATTTAGAAAGGTTGCAACAGATTTCATCAGAGATATGAACAAAGCTATATTTACCAGTTTGCCCATATGCAAAACAAGTTGCTTTGGTCCGCTGAAAAATTATTGGAACAATGGGCTTCATAGTTTCGTGATAAACCTATGGAAAGATAAGAAAACCAAGATTAACTAATGCCAAATGGCCTAATAAATTATTTCCATCACACCAAAACCATAAGTAGCTTGTATTTTCATTTTAGTTTCTTATTTTTGCTTGTGCAGCGTACTCACCTCATCATTTGAGACCTCTTCATTCAGCACTACATCAAAAACAAATTCATGCTTTTCCACAAGATTCTGTTAGGTCAAACTGTTGAATTTTGAGATATAAAACTTTTAACAACATATATGAAGTTCGAAAAAATTTGAACACAATCTATAACTGGGATAGCTTTGATATGAAAAAGGCCCAAATAAGAAAAGAGAATGGTAAAATAAAATTAGATATGTTCATGTTATATAAGGACAAACAACAATGCATACAATTAATCAATGAGTTAACTTAGAAAATATGAGGAAGAAGAACTCCGAAAATATGAGGAAGAAGGAATATATTTATGTTATATTCAAAACTTCTTATCTTACAAGACCAAATGACACTCCTTATATAGGAGATATTACAAACATCATCATAACCCATTATATGCCACTTACATATTATATATTACCACTATCTACCACTATCATATTATATCCATGCCACTATCTACCACCAACACCACTATCATATTCTATACATGCCACTATCTACCACCAACACCACTATCATATTCTATACATGCCACTATTTACCACCAACACCACTATCATATTATATACATTAACATAATTTCCAGCAAGTTATATACTTTCAAGACCTCAGCGATGAGCTAATTAAAAAGGTTCAGCTGAAAAGAGGCATCTAACACAATTAACTACCTCTACACACATTGAATCCGACCAATAAAGAATCTTTGCATCTTATAATTTGTAATTTGCAAAGGGTACCAGGCCAATAAAGAATTGACTCAAAAAGAAAACACAAATAAGTAGAAATCCCCTTTACATCCTATGTCCTGATTATCAGTCTATGTAGAGGAAAGAGGAAGGCAAATAGAAGTTACTCCACAAGACTACCTCTCTGCTCTAGAAAGGTAGAACATAGAAAACGAAACTGACTTTAAATTTATATCTGATAAGCCAATCAACACATGTTCATTTAGAATATACACAAAATAGGTTGTTGTTCTGGCATCATGCAGTTGAATAACAAGTGCTGTGATATAATCATATAACATTCACAAAATAGGTTCAGAATAATAGCCGAGCAAATCTGAATGCCATTCTCATGGGTGAACTCTTCTCAGATACAGAATTTACGGCAACAGCCTCTGTGACATCAAGCAGATGTTGAATTACTTCAAACTCACCCACATCGGAGTAAAATCAATATTATAGCATAATCACAAGTAGGATAGGTAGGAATATTCCCATGTAGGATCTCAATTTTAACAATCATGGTATAAACTATAAAGTTCTCTCATAAAGAAAAATATATGGAAAAACCATAAAAGATGAGATTACTACAATCACAACTTTATTTGTAATTAGTTTTGCGTAAAGAAACAAATAAAAGTCTCAAACAGCTCCCATACCTTGACAGCTTGTCTTCTGGTGATGTAATTGTTAGATTCCAATAGCTTTGAGTTGAATTCAACAAAGAACTAAAACCAAAAAAATATAGCAAGAGAAATGCCACATTATTATGAATCAGAAAGCTCACATGAAAAGGAAAAAGAAATAGTCAACAGAGAATGAAGATTGGAAATCAAATTTATAAAACCCCAAAAGCAAAATATACACACGAGACATATCCAATGTAATAGATTCTGTATACTGCAATGAAACTCAAATCAGGGAGTCTACATGCATTGTAATGAACTTATCTTCAAGTTTATCAGAAGATCTTGAAAGAAACGAATAGAGACAGGAAATTGTGCTTCAGGAAATGGTTGATTTAAAGCATCTTCAACTTCGAAGGAAACCTGCAAATCGTTCACCTTGGTCACACAAAATCATCCATGGCTAGCATTTATAGTCTAAAAGTCAAGAAAATAAAATAGAATAGAGACAGGAACCAGTTGCTCAATGAGTTCCATCAGATGTGTCTAACAAAAAAAACAGTGAGAAACTAAAATCAATATAATTGAACGAATAAACCTATTGCCATCGAAATTTGAGAGCAATATAATTGAACAAATATAATTGGAGAGCAATGAATAGCAGAAAACACTACCTTAAAGGTTTCTGTAGCATCGGCAGCAACATCGAAATTTGGAAGTTGAATATAGTCAAAAGCAATCAAACGTGAATAAACCTATTGCCTTTGCAGATTTGCAACCAGTAGGGTGGCATCCTTACGGGTCTATTAAAAATAATCTTTTCATAATAAGCAGCAGCAATTAAGAAAATTAAACAAAGCACAGAAGTATGAGTGAGAAAAAAATATTCATTAACTCAACCATGAAGAAAATAGACAAATAAATCAATGAAGCTAATTCTATTCTGCAACTTGACATAGTTACCAACCAATTAGATGATATTCCATACTCAATGGAGATCAATGGTCCTTGCTTTGAAGCGCACACATAAATTTAATTGGATTTATTAAGCACTTTTCACTCTGCTAAGATGTAATGAAAGGCTGAAGTTACTAAATTTACACTAAATTACACTGACATCAACTGAAAGAGTCCATAATTACCTGTCTCGGTGAAGAGATTGCTTTTCTCCTTCAAGAAAGTAGCACGATTAGAGCCTTCCAACAATGTCTACTCTATTAGGACTTCCAAAATCATATATGGTCATAGTTGAGTTGGAGAGTTGACAAGAAATTAAAAACTCTACAATGATTAAAACCAATTCCACCATCTAAAATAGGTAAATAATTGCAAGCTCCAGCACCATAACACAGTTACTTGAATTGAACAACATACCTCACTGGGTTCACCTCATAACCTTCGCAAATAAAAATTGGACTGAGAGACTAACACTCTTCAGTAGATCTTTTAGCATTTTGTAATGCTCAATTATTTTTTCATAGGTAGGATATATGATGAATCTGCTATACTATTAAAGGAAGCATGAAAACTATAAATTTGGCTTAAGTTAAGAAATTTCTCCACACAAGAAATTCAACTCTATTGAAATTGAACACTTCAGTCCAGGGGCAGATTACTGCATCCAGAAACAAGGGCAGGAAAAAAGAGAAATTAAGTTCATCAATTTGAAAATGCATAACTGCTCTACCTGAAGATGGAAAACACCACAAAATGTGCAATTGTTCTTTAATCCAATAATCTTCACTATTTCGTCCATTGTCCATCTGTACAGTTCCTTGTAAGACACCACTTTTAGTGGTAGTCCATACTAAAAAAAGGAAAAAGAAAAAAAGGACACACATAAGGACACAGGACTCGTTGATTAAAAAGACAGAAAAGATTAAAAACCATTTTATTAGCTAAAATAAAAGTGCTTAGAACAGCAAGAACATAAATTAATGAGTCAGCAACAACAGTAAAGAAAAGATTGCAGGACAAAAAGAAAAATCAAAATGCTGTGCTGCAAGAAAATAAATAAATGAACCAATAGCAGAATAAGCAAAAACGACCCAACTTGTGCTGAACTAAATAATCAGGAGACTTGCTCACCTGGACTTCATTTCTTTTGACAGTTTCAAGTGAATCATCCCTATACCCTATTATGCCGACGATTCAGCTCTGAAAACACATAAGCAAGCACTGTGGAATCTACACAGAGGGGAAGAACGTTATGAAATGCGAGGGGAAACAATCTTGTTCATAGCTTTTGCCTGTAATCAGTCAAATAGAGATGTGACTAAAAATGCAACAGCATAACCTAACACATCCACACACCAAAAAAAAGTAGTGGATAACCTCTACTCCTGCAGTGAGAACCCACAGGAAGGTACCTCTTTCCACAAACTCTCTCTCCAAAATCACACATCAGAAAGATGGCAACATAGCATTTAAATTTAATCTCTCATGCATGAAATGAGTGAGGAAACAAATGAAACTACACTTGCTCCTCTCTGTTTTTTATTCAATTACATCGACATCAAAACTGCAGTGTTTTTTCTGAACTAGAAACATCTGAGAGCATAAACCAAAGGAAAAAATCAACCTGACATTCTATAGAAAAAATTAATAAAAAACGCAGCATACTTGCCATCAACTCCAAGGAAAATTAATAAAAAACACTGCATACTTGCCATTAATTAGAAAAAATTAATCAACCTAACATTCACTTCCTTTGGTTTTTTCTGGAAACTTGGCATACTGTCATACTTGCCATCAACTCCAAGGAGTTCATTTTCTCCCTGCTAAAGATAACATGAATAACCCAATTTTTGTCAACTGTTGAGGGACTAAATTATAAGGAAAAAAAGTTAATCTCAAAAAGAAAAAGAAAAAAAAAATTCAAAAGATTGCTATCAATTCATCACATTATGCACTATAACTTCAAATTAAAAAAAGCAATGTTAAGGGATCTTAAAAATCCAGATTAAAATTACACATGTATTGCAAACCAAGCAATGAAGGAACATTTAATGCTTTGCACAATATTGATACTTGTACCTTATCTGAGAGCATACCGAACGTGGGAAAACAACCTGCAGATTGCTGCTGCCGGGTTGAAGTATATAGCGATCCCGGGTTTACCCTTGTTGTATAGTGATCCGGACAGGTGTCCGTGGATGTTGGTAGTTGTTTATTATCTTGTTTGCATCCTTTCTTACTTTGTATTTGAGTTATAGGATGTGTTGAGCGGGTTTGTTACAGGTTGGTTGAGTTTAGAAACCAAAACTAGTTGCCCAGATTTTTGGCCTGTACGCTCGAGCGGAGGTGTTGGAGCTCGAGCGTAGATTACATCCATCCAGTATCTTGTTGTGCAGTGTTGTGAGCTCGAGCATAGGGTTGGGAGCTCGAGCGGAGGCTTTTGTGCAACTCCTCATAACTTGTGTGTCGACGGTATCATTTTCGGTTCTTCTTAATGGAAAGCCTTCAAGATTGTTTCGTCCAACACGGGGGCTCTGACAGGGGATCCCCTTTCGCCATACTTGTTCACTATTTGTGCGGAAGGGATGTCGGCGCTTCTCACACATGCTATGGCAAATAACCAGTTGTTGGGGATTTCTCTTTGTCGCAGTAGCCCACGATTATCGCATTTGTCTTTTGCTGATGATAGTCTTCTGTTTGCGGCTGCCACTGAAGATGAAGCGGGGGTGTTGCGAGATGTCCTTCAAATATATGAGCAAGCATCGGGGCAGAAAATTAATTTCCAAAAATCTACTGTTTGTTTCAGCAAAAATACGGACTTGGTTACCCAGCAGGTCAAAATTAATAAAAAACACTGCATACTTGCCATCAACTCCAAGGAAAATTAATAAAAAACACTGCATACTTGCCATCAACTCCAAGGAAAATTAATAAAAAACACTGCATACTTGCCATCAACTCCAAGGAAAATTAATAAAAAACACTGCATACTTGCCATCAACTCCAAGGAAAATTAATAAAAAACACTGCATACTTGCCATCAACTCCAAGGAAAATTAATAAAAAACACTGCATACTTGCCATTAATTAGAAAAAATTAATCAACCTGACATTCACTTCCTTTGGTTTTTTCTGGAAACTTGACATACTGTCATACTTGCCATCAACTCCAAGGAGTTCATTTTCTCCCTGCTAAAGATAACCTGAATAACCCAATTTTTGTCAACTGTTGAGGGACTAAATTATAAGGAAAAAAAGTTAATCTCAAAAAGAAAAAGAAAAAAAAATTCAAAAGATTGCTATCAATTCATCACATTATGCACTATAACTTCAAATTAAAAAAAGCAATGTTAAGGGATCTTAAAAATCCAGATTAAAATTACACATGTATAGCAAACCAAGCAATGAAGGAACACTTAATGCTTTGCACAATATTGATACTTGTACCTTATCTGAGAGCATACTAAAGGTAGGAAAACAACCTGCAGATTGCTGCTGCCGGGTTGAAGTATCAGCTGAAGTACTCTGCAAGATGACTAAAAGAGAAGTCCAACATAAATTTGCTTAATTACATATAGCTAAGAGGAGGCTGAACTTCAAAACCAAAACCACATTCTCTTAGGATTGTATGAATAAGTAACAGCAAATGGTGTACTGAGTCACCACAATTAACAAGAAATAAACTAATCTTCCAAGATAATAGACAATTCTTGTGAAAGAGACTAGATCGTGTGGCAATTTACCAATAATTTTGCATCTCAACTCAATTCAACAAATCCAAGATAAAATTCATTTCTTTAATTTTATATACCAAAGGAATAACACTGTTTTGTATACCAAAGAGTTTGATGTAGTTGAATGATGGTTCAAACAAATACAATAGGAGCTGGACCCAAACACCAAGATCAAAGTTGAAATTATGCAAAATTAAATGTCTAAACAAAATAAATAACTACTGATCACTCAATAGATTGACAAATATATACTACCATTGTCCCATTTTTTCTAAAATCAAGTGCAAAAGATTAATGCATAAAATACTTGAAATTATTTATCAAAGTTTTCTTGTAGTGACAGTGGAGTTAGACATGAAATCAAAGTTTGATTATACCCACTTACATATAGTTTATTTATCAATCATAACAATAAGATTATATACAACATCTCATATTTAACAAACTCAAGAAGCAAAAATGAAGGGGAAAAAATGAGATAACATGTAACCTCGAACACCAAACTTAGAGAGAGTTTACCCCTTAATTGCAGTATGAGTCTTGTTTCTAAATAAGACTTATCAATTAAACTAAAAATTGATACAATTTTAAGAAAAATCAAAGGGAAAATTGATGTAACATAGGAGATTAAATTGACACAGAGAAACAAATTACAAGAACTAGAGGATATATCAAACTTGTGTTTTATCTATCTATTAATTTAATTTTCTTACCCAAATACAATATCTACAGGAATCACATGCATGATACATGGCAGTGTTGTGAAAAATCACATCAGAATTTTTTCAAATGAACAAGTAATAGAACCCTCAAATCAGTCTTAGCACAACCACTAAGCATGGTTGGACTCACTCAGGTTTTTCATTCTTTAAGGGGGGGAGAGAGGGAGTGTTAGTCCCTATATAAGGGTGTGACTGTTAACATCGGGAGTGGTGCGTTTTGAGCAGCTGGTGCTATATCTCGAGTAGTAGCTTATGGACGCTTCCTAAGTTTCTGGGCTTCCTTACTTTGATCGAAAGTGGTAGGTTTGTACCGTAACACTGGTTAGGTCGGGAGGTGCTGTCGTGAGGATTGATTGGGGGTATAACCTGTAGATGTTGATTGGATCCTTGGGTTTCTGGGAGTCCTGTTGGAAAGGCACTTGATCAATGCTGTTTCTGACCGGAACTCTAGTAACGCCTCGGGACTATCATTATCCGGAAATGAAATTCGTAAATGCTTATGTGTTTATGTGCTTACGTGGAGTGAATTACAATTGTCCATACATTAGGACGCGAGTGCTATAGCTTCGGCACATTTGTGAATGTGCTAATAGTCTTGGTTACCTTTATTAGGATGTCAGGACGAGGGCGTAGTAGGCGTGGCAGACATGGTAGGCAGGAGGTACCTGCACCAGATTACGTTCCGGCAGTGCAGGAGGGAGTTGGTCAGGCCAATGTGGCCGAGCCAGCGGGTCAGCAGGCTATAGGCGCCTTGGCCCGAGAGATAGCTGGAGCTTTGGGTATTCTCAGAGCTGAGAATCAGGTTGCTGAGGCAGGGCCTTCTTTCCTGAAGAGGGAATTCTTCCGATCTAACCCGGACGAGTTTGTTGGGGATCCAAAGGAGCCACTTAAGGCTGACGAGTGGTTGGAACAAATGGAGAAGACGTTCGAGATGCTTGGCATCGAGGACGGGGCTTTGAAGGTGACCTTGGCATCCTTTCAGCTGAAGGGAGATACGGGTCAATGGTGGAAGTATAAGAAGGGCAGTGTTGGTGGTGCATGGGAGGCATTTGTGAATGCTTTCCAGGATAAGTTCTTGTCTTCAGCTGCTAGAGAGAAGTTGAGAGAGCAGTTTTGCCAGCTTAGACAGCAAGGCTTGTCTGTGGCCGAGTTTGAGGCTACCTTTACTAGTCTGTCCAGGTTTGCACCTGAATTGGTGGCGTCTAAGGAGCGCCGTTGCTTTGAGTTTGAGCGAAAGTTGAGGCGGGGTCTCAAGTTGAGGGTTGGTGGATCCTTCATCTGGGAGTATAAACGTTTGGTGGATGCGGCAGCTCATATGGAGCTCATGATGCAGGAGGAGAATGAGGGGCAGAGAGGCTCCAAGAGGAGCCAAGATGGTCAGGGTGATGGCAGGAGACAGAGGGGTTCCAACCCTCAGCAGTCTCTGGGTGGTGTGGCTAGATCGACCTTTCCAGTATCGAGTGCGGGCTCAGGGAGAGGTAGTCAGGGAGGCTTGACTTGTTTTGCGTGTGGCCAGCTGGGTCACAAGTCTTCAGTTTGCCCACAGAAAGGAGGGGGTCAGCGAGTTGCTTCTTCATCAGCTAGACCTCAGGGCCAGAGTCAGGGCAGGGGCCAGCCTTTGTCATGCTATCAGTGTGGTCAGCCTGGGCACCTGAAGAGGTATTGCCCACAGTTGAGTGCTACTTCGGGAGCGTCTGGTTCTAAGCAGACGCAGAGTTATCAGCCAGCTTAGTCTGTGCAGGCCTCGAGGGCCAATCCGGGAGCTTCGTCATCCCAGTCTGTGCAGCAGTCGTTTGCTTCTAGAGGTAAGCAGGTAGATCAGGGGCCTACAGGGCGCATGTATGCTGTTACCGCGCAGGACCTAGTACCGGCTCCATCAGTAGTGAGAGGTACTTTTCTGTTTTGCAACTCGGTTGCTAGTGTGTTGATTGACACGGAAGCATCTCATTCTTTTGTACCTGCTGCATTTGCATTTGTTTTGGAATAGGAGTTGGCACAGTTAGCATCTCCAATTTGTGTAGTATCGCCTATTGGTGGTGAGTTGATCTTGAAACAAGGTGTTAGGGGTTGTGATATAGAGGTCGCCGACCATAGGCTTCCTTTTCCATTTGTGGTCATGCTCAGGAAGGGCTTTGATGTTATTTTGGGTATGGACTGGCTATCGTCATATCGGGCTGTTATCGATTGCTACCGCCAGAGGGTCACGTTATGTACCTTGAGCGGGGAGTGGTTCCATTTCTTGGGAGACCGGGTTGGTAGTGTTTTGCCACCGGGTATGATTCGCGAGGGCGAAGTGAGCTTAGTAGTCTACTGCAGCTTTGAGAGTGTGAGAGTGGTGAGACCCAGGTTGTGTTACCGAGGGGGGTTTATGAGTATTCGGATGTCTTTCCCGAAGATCTTGTTAGTTGCCACCTCACCGAGAGATAGAGTTCTCTATTGATTTAGTGCCTGGTACGGCGCCGATTTCTATGGCACCTTACCGTTTTGCCCCAGCCGAGTTGAGTGAGTTGAAGATTCAGCTCCAGGAATTGTTAGATAAGGGTTTTGTTCGCCCTAGTGTTTCACCGTGGAGAGCACTACCCTCTTTGCTAAAAAGAAAGATGGTGCCTTGAGATTGTGTATAGACTACCGGAAGTTGAATCGGGCTACAGTCAAGAATAAGTACCCTATGCCCCGTATAGATGATCTGTTTGACCAGTTGAAGGGTTTCCGTTGTTTCTCTAAGATAGACTTAAGATCGGGTTACCACTAGTTGAGGGTCAGGGAGGAAGATATTCCTAAAACGGCATTCCGTACGTGGTATGGCCATTATGAATTTCTGGTGATGCCGTTTGGGCTCACCAATGCACCGGCAGTCTTTATGGACTTGATGAACCGGATCTTCCGGGAATTCTTGGATCGTTTTGTAGTCGTTTTCGTGGACGACATCTTGATCTATTCGCCTTCGGAGGAAGAGCACGAGGAACACTTGAGAGTGGTGCTTGAGTTGCTTAGAGTCTATAGGCTCTATGCCAAGTTTGGGAAGTGTGAATTCTGGCTAGGAGAGGTCAAGTTCTTAGGCCATGTGATTTCCGGGGAAGGGGTGTCTGTTGATACATCCAAGATAGAGGCGGTGCAGGATTGGGCACAGCCTAGGAGTGTCTTTGAGAGTTTGTGAAAGATTTCTCCAGGCTAGCTTTGCCATTAACTAGATTGACGCGGAAGGGGGTTAAGTTTGTGTGGAGTGAGACTTGCGAAAAGTTGTTCCAAGAGTTGAAGGTTAGATTGACCACCGCTCCGGTTTTGATTATTCCGGAGAGAGGGTTGGGTTGTGCGGTTTATTGTGATGTCTCATGAGAGGGTTTGGGTTGTATGTTAATGCAAAAGGGGAAAATGGTAGCTTATGGCTCGCGTCAGTTGAAAATTCACGAGAAGAATTACCCTACACACGACCTAGAGTTAGCAACCGTGATCTTTACCTTGAAAATTTGGAGGCACTACCTGTATGGTGAGAGGTTTGAGGTGTTCTCGGACCACAAGAGTTTGAAGTACCTGTTTACCCAGAGGGACTTGAATTTGAGGCAGAGGAGATGGACGGAGTTCATTGAGGACTACGATTTTGAGTTGCACTATCATCCGGGAAAGGCCAATGTTGTGGCCGATGCCCTTAGTAGAAAATCCATTAGTGATGTAGCTTGTATAGCCATCTGGGAATGGGAGATGTTGAGTACACTTGGCGAGTTTGATTTGCATCTGGGCGAATCTGTTGAGGCTGCGGCCTTGTTTTCTGTTGTTGCGCAGCCTACACTTGTGACTAGAGTGTTAGAGGCACAGAGAGATGACCTTGAGGTAGAATCCCTCCTAGAGAAAATCTCAAGTGGGAAGGTGGAGAAGGGTTTGACGGTGTATCCCGACCAGAGTGTGAGATACCGAGACCGTTTGTTTGTGACGGAGTTTTGCCGAGAGGAAGTACTCCGAGAGTTCCATCATTCGCGCCTTGCAGTGCATCCGGGAGGCACTAAGATGTTCGTGATTTGGGTCGCCAGTTTTGGTGGCGGGGTATGAAGAGAGATGTGGCGATTTTCGTATCGAAGTGCCTTACTTGCCAGCAAGTGAAGGCCGAGCATCAGAGGCCAACGGGTTTGTTGCAACCCTTGCCTATTGCCGAGTGGAAGTGGGAGCATGTCACCATGGACTTCGTTGTAGGTCTTCCGAGGACTCAGCGGGGTAGTGATGCCATTTGGGTGGTTGTAGACCAGTTGACTAAGTCAGCGCACTTCATTCCTATGCGCGTGAGAGATTCGGTGGATCATCTTGCCGATTTGTATATTCGGGACGTAGTGAGATTGCACGGGGTCCCAGTGACGATCGTCTCAGATAGAGATCCTCGTTTTACTGCTAGGTTGTGGCAGAGTTTGCAGAGTGCCTTGGGCACTAAGTTGACACTACATTTTTTTGAAAGAACCAAAAAAATTAATTAAATTAAATCATAGACAAGCCATATGTCAAATTTGCTTGACCAGACAGACGTATCAAATAAAGGTAATAGATGACAAAGCCCCATGTGCCAAAACAGTTTTCAGTCTAGTATCGGTATGGCACCGTTTGAGGCCTTGTATGGCCGACCGTGTAGGTCTCCAGTTTGTTGGGCCGAGGTGGGTGATGCACCTTTGTTGGGTCCGGAGTTGGTTAGGGAGACGACGGAGAAAGTTGAGCTTATCTGTAGGAGGCTTGTTATAGGCCAGAGTCGCCAAAAGAGTTATGCCGACCGCAGGAGGAGGCCTTTGGCGTTTGAGGTAGGTGATCATGTTTTCTTGAAAATATCACCTAGGCGAGGTTTGATGAGGTTTGGGAAGAGTGGGAAGTTATCCCCTCGTTTTATTGGGCCTTTTGAGATCCTTGA